AGGGAAGGGAAAGGGATATGATAGCTGGTTAATGAAGACTAAAGGCAACTCTGGCTGTGCAAGAGCCCTTTTTAATCTGCCCGGCAACAGTTAATTGCCATTTCAGCAAGCTCTGACTTAAAGTAAGCAGAACTAGTCTGAGAACATCACAGAACTGCATCTGCTATCATAAAAGAAGATAATGCAATTTATACTCACCTAAATTAATTTTATGTTCAAATTTCCTTAAAGCCTTGTCTGTAGGGGTAGACATTTTTGCTGAATTGCAACTAGGGGTCTGTCTATTTGCCTGAAACAAAGGATTTGTTAATAAAACTTGCCTTTTTAAAATAGCCTTTGAAATATAGACAGTATCATTGGAAAAGTCAGTCCAAATGCCTATGCCTAGAGTTTTATACATACAAAACCAGAAAGGGTGAGGAAAGGGACATGGATTAGCATCAGATTTTTATTTTCTTCTCTGGAATTAAATAAAGTGACACATCAGACAAAATTCCAACAAAATGACCCAGTGCAGGGTTATTTTTAGTCAGGCAATTATGCTCCAAGTCTCTCATATTAACACTTTTTTTTCCCTAAAAGGAACAGGAATAGCAGAAAGAAGTAAGGAGAAAAACAGGAGAAAAGCTGAGAAGGTAACGAACAAAGAAGACTTTCCAAAGTTGTTATCTTTTCTTACAGGCGGTCCTCTCTGAACACAGTATCCACTTTCACCGACACTGGACAGCATAAATCCCTAACTAAAGGGAAGAATAAGTCACCCAGGACAAGCACTGCGATTCAGACACAATATGCCATGATCAGCACCACTTTATCTCAACTATTCTGTTGTACCGATACCTAAAGAAAAGGAGAGGTTCCTAACCTTCATTGTCCAAGCCGAGACCAAGAACGCTAGTTTCCGACACAGTATGTGCTTTCCAGTCCGCAACAAACCAAACGTTTCTAATTCAACAGTGTTTGCTCTAAATTCATCTATTTCTAGCATCTCCCTCCACCTCCTATACCTTCTTTCACCTTCCTTCCCCATTAGCCCAAAAGAGAACTTCTTTCATTCTTGGCACAATAAAGCAGGTACTGTCTCAAAATTCAGTGAAAATGAAGGGAAAGATGCTCAAAAACACAGAGGACCAACATTGAAAAGGAAGCAACAGTAGTAAGATTGGAGTAGGCAATGAAAGAAAGGTTAAGAAAGCTCAAAAACAGGAGGAGGACTGCAGTAACAAGGGGAATGCAGTAATAGGACTTGGGGCAAGAAAAATCAAGAGGAGTCCTGGCTACAATGCACATATGCATGCAGTGTGCCAGAAGAGGAGACTCAGAAGAAGGGGATTTGCCTGAGGAGAAAGTTCCATTTGAATTTTTGCTCAACATAATGTTAACACTGAACAAAGCCTCGGGGTTCATCCCATTTGCTCTTGGGCACCCTTAACAGTCACAAAATAGCCTTCAACTTACCTGTGGATTGCATCCAGCAGCACCACTGTGGCGCTTCATGAGTCTTCCCATCTCATGATCCCAGTCCCAGTCTTCATCCTCATCTTCCTCTTCATCATCATCACGATCATCATCTTCCTCAGCGTTAACCTCTTCACACAAGCATGACTGGCAGTTCTCGGTTACTTCACCTTCTTCAGCTGTTTGTGTGTCCTGAGTAAGTTCACTTCAAACAAATGTAGACATTTACATAACTACAAATAATCACTACAGTCATCACGATATTTGTCACTTCACCTATCTTCAAAGAGGTATATACAAGAACGTCATTGCCTTTAAAGGATGGACTACATTTAAATTATCTTATTCACTGCTTCAGTGCCATCTTCTAACTTGTTTTGTTTACAAACATTTAGATCCCTCTGTAACTCCAAATAGATGAACAGATCACACCAGATCATGCCAGGTGGCTCCTTCTTCAAGGCCAAACCATTTTGCTGCTGCCACAGCAGATTTCCACCTGACAGATATCACAGCAACAGATGGTGGCAACAGATAGCAACTCTGCTAGTAACTCTGGAGCACCAATACAACAAACATAAAAAAAAAGCAGACTTAGGAAAGAACTCGTAAGACAAATGAACCCTTTCAGCTTACTAGTGTATTTGATTGCTTCAGTCTATCATGTTTTCTGTCAGAACAAGTATGTCCCTGAGCAAATTCACTACTTAACTAAACAAGTGGTAAAATAGGAAGATAACGGCTTGGACGCACAGGACTAGATCATTCCTTATTCAATCCTCTGCTCCCTACTAAACATACGTGGCTTTCACTTCAACACAAAGTCCATTTCAGCTCCAAAATAAACCTCATCTTAACTAAAATACTGTTCTCTTACATAATTTCAGATGTTTAGTTTCAGTCAACTAACTACAAAGTTAAATTACCTAGACTACCCCAAGTCTGCAATTGGGTCAGTCCATTTTAGTGCTGAAACAGAACTCAAATAATAATAAAACAGTGCGAGAGCAGACTTTCCCCGTGTGCACAGCTTTAACGAAGGTAACGCATCTGTTCCCTCCCACAGGTTTTAACCAGGCATCGCTCTGCAGGACCACGTTCCCCAGCAGCGACCCAAACCGAGACCGCTGTCGAGGGCTTCACCCCTCGCACCTCGCCCTGTTTTGCCACATTTCCTTGACAATCGACCGCGGGGGAACAGAAACAGCAGGAGGACGGACGGATGGATGGATGGATGGATGGATGGACGGACGGGGGGGGGGGGGGGGGGGGGGGGACGCTACTTGCTGGATTTAATGATAGTAACGCTAAGTTGCCAAAGGAGTGACAGATTTTCAAGGATACAAGGCTGTATTTGACAGTTACGTTTCTGGCATATTTCACAGTAATTATCTGAGAAAGAAGGTAGAGGAAATAGAGGGCAGAGCCTTCTAGATCAGTGGATGGCGATGTGGGGTAACCTCACTTGCTGATCCAGAAGGACCTTGTTCTTTGCTAGGATACTGTGTCACCTCTTCCAGCCCTAGCATAGCCTAGGAAACCTCACAGAATTATAAATAATTCAAACGTGGCTAACCTCAAAGTTAAAGCAGTGTCACAGAAGGGCTGAGTACCAAACCAGTTTAAAGGCATCATTAAACACTTCATTGAACCATAATAGGTAACAGATTCAAATGTCAGTATAGGCATTCTTAGTATTAACAAATGGATTTGCTAACAAATGAAGTGATTAACTAGTAAACATATTTATCAAAGGCGGGCCCGGGGGCGGCCCACGGGGGCGGGCTGTGGGGGCCCTCTGGAGCCTGAGCGGGGACACGGGTTCGCTTTGCAAAACGCAGGGCGTTTCTCACCGTTTTCGGACTAAGTATGCCTTCAGGATGCATCTCTGACGGGTATATGTGAATTTTAAGCTGAAGCTTCTTGCTTTCTGTCTGCTCCTCTCTTCCACACTCGCAAGGCTGCGGGGACTTTCTGCTAGTGATCAGTCCAGAAGATCCTTGAGACCTCTGTTATTTTGGGTTTTGCTCCAGCCTGGAGCAGCCAGCATATGGGGAGGGGGGATGAAAACTGTGGAGGGGAAGAGTAGCCTGAGATTTAGGATTTAAATCTTACACCTGCTGCAGCCAATGGCACACTATGTAGCTCTGACAAGCACTTCAAGGAGAAAACAAGACACCCATGGGTTTTCTGTGGTGGAATTCATGACAACTGTTCAATTTACTTACCTGTGATACAGAGATCCTTAAAATATTGCACCTGCAACTTGTTTTTCCCTTGCTAGAAATGACTGTTTTCTTCTATTAAGGCCATAGATTCGTGATTGTTTTCATAAGACATAATTTAGGATCTGTATCTTTTGAAGCAAACATAGAGTTTTATGTAGTACACTTTGAAACATTACACTCATATCTTTGTTAATATAAAACTCCAGTTGAAGCCAAAGGAATTCCAGATTTTCGGTCTTCACTAGAAGCTTCTTAAGTAACCATAACGTCCGTTACACTGAATAAACTGCTAATCACCATTTATATATCAATATAAAATAGGTTTAAAAAAAATAAAAATTAGTAGTGTACTTTTATTTTCTGGTACGTAATGATAACATCTAAAAAACATGTGCAGTCTTTTTGTAGATGTTTTTCCGTTATCCAAGTGGTAAGTGTAAAGGCTGTCAAAAGTCTACAATTGTTGCAGAAAGCAGTAAGAGATGCTTGTGCTGAGAAAGCTTTAAAAAGAACTAATTGAATATATATCATTTCCATCTGCAGTGCTTCTCTAAAGTCAAACCATCGAGAGTCTCTGAATGTGGAAAGCGACACAACAGCTTCTGACATTTCTGAGGTGTGTACACGAGAGCTTTACTTCAGGGCTATCTTCACTTAAGCTGCTGACTCCAGGGCATTTGGAACTGAAATAATCCCTTTCTCCTCCTTTTTCATAAAAGAGGGAATATTGTGTCAAGTATTGTCTCTCTATAAAAGTGTCAGGCGGCAAGGCAGAGAATAACTTGTTACTGCTCGCTACAGAACAGTGTCAGTCTGCTAACACACCTACAAACACAACTGCTTTCCAAAGAACTATGTTTAGTGTAGACAAATCTACGAGGCCTATGTGCCTAGAGACACACCACCACGCTGTTTGGACACTGGTGACTTCAGCCAGAGAAGAGAGAAAGGTTTGGAGGGCCCACATGCTGTCCAGTAGTTGAAATATCCAAGTCGATGCTCTGCCATGTCACTTGGGACGTCTGCAATTGGAAAGGTAGATCCCCTATGAAAGCAAACTACGCTATTATTTCTCATTACGTTTTGTTACCTAGGAATCTCAGTCGTGCCCCATTGTGCTAGGCATTATACAGACACTGAACAAAAATGGGAGAATTAGCATTGCATTCACTTTAAGAGAAGACATGTATTGCATTCTTTATTTAGGTGCAAAATGAATGCAGCAGAGGCAGCTCAGGGTTCTTCACCTGGTTTGGAGGCAGGCAGGACTTGAGCCAGTGGCCTTGTCAAACACCAAGACAGCTGAGCTTCTCTGTTAGTTCCAGTGCTGCCGCACCTGCTGCCTTGCCCTCACCTGATCTGAGTAGCCTCCAATTTTGGGAGGGTAGATCTCTCTTCATGGAGTTAGGTTGTGTGCTGTCTTTCCCCATGCTCAGCTACATGCAACAGAAATTGGATTAAGATCACCTGTTTACTGATATTTTTCATAGATCTGGTTATCGCATGACTCTCAGTCTATGTGGGGGAAGCCGCAGAAAATATGCTATTCTATAGGTTTGTTTCACTGAGTATCTAACAGACTATTTAACACTCTTTAAGTAAATATGCATGTTTATTTTAATGACAGCGAATTGTTTGAAACATAGCACTGGCAAGTGAGATACTCCTAGGATTCCCCTATTTAATTTTTATTTGTTCTTTGCTCCAGGCTTCCATGTAACTCCCCCTGCAGCCATAATGGACTGCAATATGCTTTTCTATCGCAGGTTTTAAGTACTCTTTGAAAAACAGGCACAAACTGTTCTGCAAATGATTCATCTACAAAAGGGTCAAGTGAAACAGGCCACTGGGTGTTTATGCTACCTTCAGAAAGGGAATATCCTATATTAAGCGCTGTGCTAGGCTCACTTTGACTCACAGTCAGCTCTGTCACAGGCTGAACTGCAGCATGGCCTTGGGTGACCCCCTTCCCCTAATCTCTCAGGGTTGCAGTTTCTCATTTCTGAAATGGAAATGCTACTATTTCCTGTGCTTACACAACATGATGTGAGGATAAATGTGTTAGCATTTAGAAGGCATTAAGACAGGAGAGGTGGCCCATGTAGCTATCTACATAGACTATATCAGGGAAATCTAGTCAACTGACCAGGGAGGTGGAGGCATGTCATCAGAGCCTACAGTCATTCCACCTCAATGGGACACTTAAAGTAGGAGGATACTGCCCTCACCCTCTTCCGCCTCCATAAAGAGGTAACTTATTTTTAGTATTCCTCTGTAGGATCACATTGAGGGGAAGTAGGAACTTAAGGCTCCCCACTCCTGAGTGACCACAGTGCAAGTTAGCAGTTCCACGTGCCTGCCACCATATGACAAGGCATGTGAAAAGAGATGACAGAGGTCAGTTAGTATCCTTATTGCCTGTGAACATAGGTCTCTATCTGCCTATGCACTTGGACCGCTGTAGCTCCATGCTCCTCCTCACACAAGAACATCTTTGGAAAACTATTGTCTCCCTTAATCTGGCTATGACTGCCTTAACTTACCTTTCCTGCAGATTAAGAGTGACAAATCTTGCTCATATTTGGACGTCCACAAAGTGCATGAAAAGTACCACATAGGCTACGTGCTGTGGTTCACACTGAAGCTAGGGAACTGAAAAACACCATAATCAGAGTCTCTGGACAAAGTGCAGTCTCACTCCTCTCTGAGAGAAGCACCTCAAGAGGGCTATTAGCAATTCCTTTTTTATATTTGCAGGATGAAATGCAGAACCCAAAGGGAGGAAAAGACGCTGACTGCCAACTTTGTGAAGGAGCCCATGTTTCTGGGCCTGTCTTGGAAAATCTGACGGGCGGTATGTTGCTGTTGGTGATGTGAAACATGAGAAAGGATTTCAACTACAATGTGCTAGGATGGGCTACAATAAGTTTTAATCTATCTCGCCCTAAACTATGCCAGGGCACTACTTAGCAGTTTACAGGTTTAGTGCTTTCAAATGGATTGTGAGCTAGAGCAAAGCCTGTTGAAATCAACAGACTTGATTTTCAGGACAGCTACACAGCTTACAGGTGTGGCATGAGTGAAGCAGAGAAACAATAGGGGCTGTACAGAGCAAGAAGAGACACAGGAAGGGAGAACAGAAAGAATATGGCGAGGGAATGTTAAAATTCAGACAAATTCCTATAAAATGACATCTGGTAATAGAAAAGAAAGCAATATCTAGATCCTGAACAGGAATCATACAGAGAAGAAATATCAGGTCAGCAATCAGTTCACTGATGTGCAGCTTTAGAAGTAAACTGTCATGACCAATGCAGTCCCCTTGTAGTCTGCCAGTATAACGTAGAGTGAAATATTTCTCCAGTACTTGAGACCTTCCAGCTTCTTCCCAGTTGTGAGTCTTTTCTTGCCAATGATCAGAGTAAGCTGTCACAATACACAGAGCATGAATATCTGTGAGGGGCTACACACACTCATCACTTGACAGGTCACCTTTTCTTGAGATATGGCTTCAGCTGAGCTCAGGCCGTCCAACTTTGCTCAAACTATAACTTAAGTCAAGGTAAAGATCAATAGCAGGCAAGTTCACGTGACTGTTAGAAGAAACTCTTCATGCCGTCTTGGACATTAAGAGTAATCCTGCTCTGTTCTTCGCAGTCGTCCCCCCTCCTTTTTTTTTCCACTTTGATTCTCTTTGTTCATCGGCACAGTAAGAGGCCCGATCTCTTCCGCCTCATGCACTATGTTTGCATCATTTGACATTCCAGTACTGTAGGTTATATTCCAACTTCATATATACATCAGCTTAAATAGAAGAGGCACATTTAAATGAGAGAGGCACACATACGTAGGAGAGAGAAATTAATATGGCACTTTAATCCTGATATAAGCATTCATGTAGTTGCATCATGTTTTGGCTAGGTGGCTCCTGATCAAAAAATGATATATATTTGAAGAGGCAAATGGTTCCTGCGTTGCATTAAGTTCCAAGCAAAGTCATTCCTCTCGACAGCTATATTATGTTATTTCCATGAATAATCTTTGATATAGTTCTAAGAAACCTAATTCTTTCTTTGATTCTGTACAGATTGTCAAGATTCTTTACAGAAAACAACATCATCAAGTCTTAGAAACACTTGCCATGAAAGCAACAGACCTCTCTCTGTAGCTAGCTGGAATGAACCTTCGAATGTGGGCACGATGTTTTTCCCAGAGAAGGAGTCCATAGGCAAAGAAGAGCCAGCACACCAAACGAGAATGCTGGGCTGGCTAGAAGAAAACGTGAAGGGAGAAGACACCATTAAAAAAAAATTGTGGGAATCTGAGAAAGAAAAAGTGTCACTGTCAGAACAATTATCAGTTAAATCCCTTGTATTTCCTCATGAAAAGCCATTTGTAGAAATGGGGGAGTCGCTACTAGATTGCATTATTAAAGAATCCCCCATAAAAGATGTATCTTATTTTCTCACTCAACCCCATGGTTCTCTGTTCAAGATGCATCCAAGTTTTGGTACCGAGGAACTGTTTTCTGGAGAGGATAATCTGAACCTGGCTGGCAAAGCTCCCAGTCCAAAAGGAAATATGGTAAGATTTCTTGCTGCTTGAATAGAGGCTTAAATGATGAAAATACTGTTCTCTGACAAAGCTAGTGGCAGGTCTTTAAATGACATGTATATTGTAGTACCTTGTGTGTGAGTGCTGTACCTCCCTGATGTATAATATGAAAGAGAAGTCTTAAGAATATCAAATGGAGGTATTAGATTTGCACACTGAATTAACTGAGTTCTGAATGAAAGGGGCAATGAATTTTCACTGAAGCTCCCATTCAGCTTACAATTGCTACCTCTTTTGGTAGGCAGTCACTGGACAACAGCTTGACCCTTCAAACACCTGGAGGGAGAGCAACAATAGTTTTTCTCCTGGTTCCTTGTATGAGAACGTTATGTATAAACCAGCTCTGATGCAGTCAAACAGAGAAGTGAAAAGAACTATAAAGAACCATGTAATTGATTACAACAAAAGAGGAAGCGCTGACAGAGAGTTTCCATCAGAATCTGTAAGATGCTGTTTCCTATTTTTAGTTTTCTATCTTTTTTAGTAACAAGTAGCGTAAGAAAAAAAATTAAATACAAACAGTTAAAAAGATTGTGGATCAAACTCTACTGCCATTATTATTAATTTTATTAGTTTTAATATATTATCTGGCAAATTCAGTAAAAAAATTCAATGCCCTCTTATGCAAGGTAAGATAGGATTCCAACTCTCCAACTCCATCCAAAAGACTAAGTCAGTAGCACTTCAAGCAGATTTTATTGCCTTCTAACTCTGTTTTCAGCAAGTAAAATCTCCCTTCTATCAATTTGCTGGAAATTCAGTAAACACCTTGCTGCATAGAGCGCTCTAAGACATTTTTTCTCCTATTACTGTAATGTAAACATTTCTCTTTCTCCATTTTCTACAGTCAAGTGGTTTGACCAATAGTTTAGTCTTGATTTGGGGTTTTTCTTTTTTGCTTTTGTTTGTTTGTTTTTTTTAATTCTGACCTTAAAGCAAGAGTTTACTGTAAGTTGGGCCAAAATCTGACAAAGGCACTCTTTAGACTTCACTCCCCTGGATCCTGATACTGGTGCAAGTCCTTGCAGGCATTGCTGGAGGGTGGGCTCTTTGTTTTTTCATCATTTTATAGCACGGATTGAAAAGTTCCACTGAAGCTAATGAAGAAATAGTTTGAATAAATAGACCTGAGTATAGACTGAAAGGTGTCACCTCTTGTTTTGTAATGGTAGAATGACACAACTCTGCTAGTATTGTAACAGTATAGGTGAAGCTTATTCAAATTTATCCTCAGCTGCTTTCCTGCTTTCCCTGAAGAGTTGACTGTCGAGCCATGTGAGCTCTAATTTTTCTAATTGGTTGATGGCAGAATGTGGTTATCCCCCTAGGAACAACTTAAAGCTGATAAGAAATCTTTACGCCATCATTCTGAGACATCACTTGCTCCTAAGGAAGACTACAAGCAAGGAGGCACAAGGAATAAAGTGATCCTCTCCACTCGTAAAACAGGGAGCCCCTGTCTAAGCCCTTATGAAGCATCCTCAGACATGTATGAGGCACAGTATTCCAAGTACCACTTGGAGAAACTACCATTTCAGGAGGAAATCATGAACTTTAGTGGGGTCATCAAGGAGCTAGAGCAAGGCCAGCAAAAACAAACCCAAATCATAGATCTTCAGTGTGATGATAAGCTTTTGAAGAAGGTTAAAGACAGGGGAAAACTGTTGCTCAGGGAAGGGGATTTACATCTGGATGAAGTGACAAAGAGAATGAGGCAGAATCAGAATAAACAGCCAACTCAAATCATTGATTCTTACTCTGAAACCATTTCTCTGGAGACCAGTTTTAAAGAGTTGGAGACAAAACCTGTTCAGCAATGGCATTTTGAAGAAACTGTAAACAAGCTGAAGAAGGATACTGAAGATCTAAGTGAAGGAAAAGGCAAGGTCACAAAAGAGAAAAATGAGGATAAGAGGTGGCTGGTAGTCATGCAGGAAGCTTTATCCAATGCCACCAAACATCTTGAGGAAGTTGGGACTGAAAAAAAAGCCCTTTTGCAGCAGGTAGAAGAACTTAAGTCTGCATATTGTCTCCTTCAAAAGAGGCATGAGGCAGAACTGAAGACCAAGTCTAGGAGACAGTACTTGGAGAGGGACCATACCGTACACAGGAAAGAAAAAAAGATGAGGGAACTACAGCATCTCAGACAAAAACTGGAACATGAGGCTGAGACTGTCACTTCAGCTCTGCATAGGCTAAGGCAGGAGAAGGAGAATACAGAGAAAGGGCTCCTGTCCTTGCAGACAAAATTTCAGGGAGTAAAGGATGGCAGCTTGGCAGCAAGGCAACAGCTGGGATCCAAATATAAAAAGCTGGCTGCTCAGCTTAAAATTCTGCAAGTAGAATTTGAAAATGAACAAGCCGAAAGGGAGAAAATGCAACAGCAGATCTGTGAATTCAGAATAGAGAACCAAAAGCTGCAGCAACGGAGTGCGAAAGACCAAGAACGAAACCGCATCCTACAGCTTGAAAGTGCCAGGTGGAAAAATAAATATGATAAAGTCAGAGGCTCACAGACAGCCAAGGTATAACTTGAGATCAATACAGCACCGTAAGCATAAGAACCTGTAACAAATAGAGTTCCTAGATGCCATATGCAGTATTGGTAACACTGTCTCTTCTGTTTTAAAACAGGGTGAAATAGAAACGTGCATTACCAACCAAGTCCTACTTACACACTTTCTGTGGACGTGAGCTGTGCATATGCAGCTCTGTAACAGTGGATTAATTTTGCCCATGAAACAACTTGCAAACATATAATGTTGCACAAGCATTAAATCAAAATAGTTAAGTGTAAATCCTATGCTGAACATCAAGGTCCTGTTTACATGTAATTAAAAAAATCCCAAAATAAATGTAGAGTCTAACATGCAGAAGTAGGATGAGGCATTGTCTCCCATTCCATCCTCCAAAAAAAGTGGACTTTTTTTCCTTGCCCTCTTACTTTACGTCAGGTGGAAGCAATGAAGCATATGAGGAAAGTTTTACATTTTGACCCTTTATCTTGAGCAGTTGTATAAAGAAAAACAGTTGTTTTCTCTCTCGTTCTTTCACCTCGCTGTCTATGCCAGAATCAGCTGCACTTTAAAATAATCCAGATACTTAGATGTAAAATTCCCTTATAGGAGGAGGATTAAGAAAGAAAGAAGTCATAGAGCAGAGGAGGCAGATTTTGGAGAGGTTTTGTCTTCCGGTGTGTTAGGGTTTGTGCAACATATTCCTAGAAGAAAATATTGTAGGAAATATTTTAGTCTCAGTACCACTTACACTGTTGCTAAGCCCTGAAGCACACACTTCTCCCCTTGCCCTCTCAGGCTAAACTTCCACTGACTCAAGTCAGGGGGTCTGACCAAGAAGTTGAGAGCTAGGAAAGTATTGAAACTTGCATTTGCCTTTAAATACGTTACAGTTGAGAAACTACTCCTTCTCTTAAGTTTTTTTACCAGACTAGAGTCTGGAGTGTGGAAATTTGTCTTCTACAGAGGTTTATACAATCACCCAATTTCAAGCGGTGATCACACACTGTGTCATTTGTCATTTGAGTAAATGAGGGAATAAAAAGTCATGGTAACATCATTTTTTTAGCTTCTTCCAGGGGAAAAGGAATGAAAGGAGCGGAATATAAAAGTAAATATGTCCCAAATTGTTCCTATGGGTTTAGCAGGTTCGCACCTAACCTCGTTCCTCAACTTTGTGGAAGTGTCTGGTCATGCTTTCTGTATAGCTGGCTCTTTCTCCATTAGCTTATGCTGCCCCTGGCTCGGTGGTACCGAGCCCTCTTAGCAGAGGAAGGGGAAAGGCTGTATATACATAATGGTGTGCATTTACTGAGGAGGGAGGTGGCAAAGAGCAGAATCCTCGAACCATTGGTTTTTTGGTGTTCAAAAGACCAGGAGGGCATCCTTATAAAGCTAGCACCTTATCTAGGGGTAAAACAGTAGTATATACTTCACGTTCACTGCAAGCAGAAAAAATCCCACTAACGCATGGAAATAGTGACGCTCATATTGGGCCAGGTGGTTTCTAAATACCAAAGAAGGTATGATGCTGGCTTTGAGAAGAACGGTAGTAAATGGGAGGCTAATCTCGATGGCTAGATGGGAGATTTTTCTCAGAATCTGAGAAATAAGTGTACCAGGATGAAACCTGAGAATACTCCTTGTGCACTCACTTAGTCGACCAGGTTTAATTTACTGAATGGTGACTGAAATTGAGTGGGAATCCTATATTGCATTCTCTTTAGTAACATTAGTTCTATTTGTTGCTTTTATTTTCAGTTGAGAAGTTGCAGATCTCCTCAAATCAAGTAAATTTTGATGTTCCCATTTAGGATATGACATCATCAGTGCTTTCTGATTTACCTCACAAAAACCTCAAGAGTGGGAAAGACTGCCTTAGCACCTTTAATGTGCAGAGAGTATCCCAGCTGTTATGTAGAGTTTGCAATATTTTGGCTCTGGCAGATGGACATATTATGTGTCAGGTAATACAAAATAGATCTTTCAGAAACTATACACAGAGAACCTAGACACCGATTTCAGATCAGTTCAAATGTAAGCATCTAGCATTTGCTCTTGCTGTATTCTCTCAAGAATTTAAAATACAGGGATCTTTAGATGTACGTCAAAACCAAGGGCTTAAAACACATCTTTACTTCCAGTTTCCTCTGATTTTAGTCAGCCTAAGTCACAGTCAATTGTATTGTGTTACATGGGTAAATCTATTGGGAGTCATTTTGGATTGCTTCTTCTAAAAAGCCATATTTTTCTCTCCCTGTGGAGAAGGGAGAAAATTTAAAATGAGGAGGTACCAAATATTTCATTTTCTTGCCTGTCAGCTCATATTCAGATCTCTCTCTCAGGATGACAAAGAGAAGGAAAGGGAGGACACACAATCACCTATAGTTTTACAGTCAATAAGATCTTGTTCACATTTGTAGCGAGCAAAATCTGCTACCATTTAATGACCATCAAGAGATCAGTTTAGAAGAAAAAAGTGGTGGTCTTATCCCACTTTCCAGAAGACAGTTTCAGTATGCCCAGATTTATTGCAGTTGATTAGCATCTTTATTAGCAGTCTCTGGAGATAGTCCCAGTGATCTTACATTTAGGTAACATGCTTTGGGATATCTACTAACATCATTAATCTTAGAGTCACCCCTTAAATGAGCCAGGAGTTTAAGATATTTGCAACAGAAATATTAATGTTGCTGTGAGTGAAATCTGAATGGAAATGTCTGTGTATAAACACTAGAAAGAAAAAAGTGGGAAGAAAGGGTAAAAGAATAGCCCATATTGATAAATGAAGAGCACACACTGATAAGTGATCAAGCCTGGATGCAATACTCTAGATGCAGTCTAATGTGCACTGAGTAGATGGGGGATAACTACTCCCCTCGATCTGCTGGCTGTGCTGCTGTTAGTACACCCTAGAATGCTCTTGGCCTTCCTTGCTGTCAGGGCACACTGCTTCCTCATGGTTAGTTTGCCATCTACTAGGACTCCCCCTGCCAGGCCCTTCCCAGCAGGGCGGCTCCACAGCTAGCCTGTACTGTTGCTAGGGCTCCCTCTTCCTTCCCAGGTGAATGACACTGCATTTGTCTCTTGAATTTCATGAGGTTCCCCGTGGCCCATCTCTCCAGCCTGCCTAGCTCTGTCTGGATAGTAGCCCTACCATCAAGCATATTAAGTGGTTCCCTGTTCCCCTTCCCAATTTGGGGACGTCTGCAAACCTCATAAACAAGCATTCCATTACCTCCTCCGAATCACTGATAAAAATATTAGATTGGACAGGTCCCAGGATAGATGCCTGCAGTACTCTACTCATACTGGCATCCAATTAGAACATGAAGCTCCTGACAGTCCGCAGGTTATTACCTCTGAGCTGCTAATACCTGCTAGATAGACACTAATTATTAACCACATCTGACTAATAAACCCCCCATACCTTCACCCATTCCCTATTAAAGGGTCTAGGGCCCTGGAAGCAGGGATCATCTAGGATGCAGAAGCCAGCAGGGCTGTGACACACCTCTGTAGGCTAGCCACAGTCATCTGCCAGGATCTGGCAATGAACCAGGAGCTGTCAGGGAACCCTGGGGCAAGAGCCAGGCCCCACAGTGCTCAGCTCAGAGCTCAAGGAGGCCTAAGCTAACTGTCAGGGAGCAGCCAGAGCAGGGCTGATGCACAAGGGAAGATGACCCAGAAGGGGTCCTGAGGGTGACCTGAGCACTGGCAGTGCCTTACCAACCACAGCACAGACTCACAGTATCCAAGTAAGGCAAGCACAGCAGGGGTGGTGACAGCGACAGGTTCTGCCAGTAGTCCTAGCAATCGTCAAATGCAAGGTGACAAGTCAGGTCTAAGATCCAGTCAACAGGTCAGGAATAGCAGGGAACAGGACTAGAGTCATGTCTAGCTACAACATAGCTCAGGCAAGGACTGAGGACACAGGGCTGAGCTTAAAGGGAGCTCCCAGGCCAGTGGGCACAGGGGAGTGGGCGTGGATCCCAGGTGTGACCGGTCAGGGCAGTTAGGGCTAATGGAGGCTTTCAGGAACCGCACAGCTAGCCCAGCAGTAATACAGACCATAACAGATGTATTTCAAACATATATCCCTTACAAGGAAAAACATTATGGGCAGAAATCTGGCCTAAGATGTATGGAGGCTGAATTATGCAAGATTCTGAGCAAAGTACCACCCTATAACAACTGATGAGTCCTAAGGCTATAGGAGATTTGTCTAAAAACTGGTTTGTCATGGCTAATGAAGAGGAACCTGAGAGATGCAGTGAGGACTCAACAGCTGGCATCCGTTGTCCTCTCTGTTGCACACAACCAATCCAGGACAAACTACTTGGACACATAGGTCTTGGTGTTTGTCAGTATGCGTAAGATCAGCTTTTTAAAGGATTTTGTGTAGTAAAATTATCTTCCCCTGAACCTGTGAAGTTTTATGGTGTGTCCTGAAGATCCCAGCCACAATGAAATTAGTGGACAGCCTGTGAAATCAGAACATTAAAAACAGGTCAGCCTTTGGCTAGATACAGCAGCATGAACCAGACTTTCTTCCATTGCTGCAAATCCTGCATGGAGGATGTGAAAAGAAGCCACAAAGGTCTGTGTGGGTACTGTGTTTTTCACTGCAGATTTAAGGTCAGGGAGGATATCTATAAATCACAGTACTGGCTTATGTCAATCTTTCTGATATTCCTTACTGAAAAATGTTGTTACAGGTAGTTCTTTGAGCACGAGACCCGATTTAGTGGTTAGTGGATTTGTGTCTCACAGCTGACCTTCTAACTGACTTACAGTCTGCATGCTGGCTTCACTCTTCTTAGAGGCCATTGAAGAATCCACTTGGAATATGAGAAAGATACTGCAGCACCTTGCTACCTGTCACATTTCTATCCATCATATTGGAGTTCTGTCACTGATCTTTACTATTGTGCTAACTGTTGTCCTCCCATTTTTTGGTTAGAAAGAGGTAACATCAGCAGCAGCAGCTGGAGGATGCTGGTCTTTCAGCAGCTGAGATTGTTCAGAAGGCACTTCTCTATTCATCAAACTCACCGTTCTATCTATGGAACTGAACACCCAACATATGTATTTTAGTGTGAGGGTTATCACTGCTTCTTTCTAAACAGTTCTGTTTTCATCATCATCCTCACCTTCCTCAGAGAAGTCAGGGTCAATCAAGTCAATAAAGATAAAGGATGCAAAATTGGGGTAATGGTGACAGTTAGTGGAGTGCAGTATTAAATGAACAGCAACTAATCCTTCTGAAAGATCTCAGCCTCTGAAAACTCGGCATCCTTTCTGGCGGATGATATTAATATCTCATCTTCCTTCCTCGCCATTTTCCAGATCACATAAACGGCATTCAACTGAAGTTATCTCATGGCTGGCAAGACCTAAGGAAGAAGAGATAGATATTAAGAGGAGGCATATTTCAAAACTGAAATTAGTTTAATTTTAGCCC